GACTGTGTAAGCACTTGTTGAATGTTTAGTGTAAACCTTTTAAAGTGAGGAGCAGGAGGAACACAGCATGAAGGTTGTGTGTTCAGTTGATTTATTGTTCATCCACATTTGGCCAGCTGCATACTTTTTTTTAATGGAAACCTGTTGTCAGAGTATAGTGGTTTGGGGAAGAATACCCCAAGCATCAGGAAAGCAATGCTGCTTTATGGTCAGGTAGCCAAGGATGTATTTACTTGCACTGCCATGATTGCAATGGTATTGAGACCATTCTGGTTTGGCATGGATGTGTTGGAGGCATTGCTCCTTATAGGGTCAGCAAAAACTGGGGTAGAAATTTAAGAGGAGCTCTATCATCCCCATCCCAGACTGCAGTCTTCTCAGGTGCCCTAGGGACCAAGCAGGTGGCAGGATTGCTGCTTCTTACTTTGAATCCTGATGTGCTTTAGTACAGGTGTGTGTCTCTTCTCTCTGCTAGATGTCGTTCTTCGTGGGAGTCTGGATAAATATTTCAGTCTTTAGGAGTTCAGGAGAGCTAGGTATCACCTAGCAACAAGCATCCCACTCTCTACCTCCTGCTTCTCTTTACTTTTATTAAAGTATCTGAAAAACAGAAGTTGAAACATTAAGGTAATTTTCAGAAATATTTTGAGCAACTTTAGATATTTTTGTTATGACGTTACAGCAGAGCAACAAAGATGTTGGTGTGGGGGCTGGCATATTAAAGTCCTTGTTTGAACAGCAGCTGCAATCAAAAATTAGCAAAAACTTCAGCTGGAGACAGAATAACCCTTATGATTACAATTGTTAGGATGCATAGCAAGTGATCCTTTGGTTTTGTGAGGTCTGCAGTTACACTCAGCCTAATCTGAATGACTTTTAGGCTGTGCTGCATGGTTTTCCTTGCAGCTTGTAGTGACTGCTGGTGGGACTGTGCCTTACACTGGAATTCCAAATTTTTTTTTTTTTTTTGCAGACAGGTTTGTGGCAAAGTGTATTGGCTAGTTTCAGTTACAGTGGTGCAGCACTCAGTTTACAAGTATCCTGGGGACCAGACACAGGTCAGGAAAGGGAGACACTTGAAATGCAGTTGAGGAAGACTTTGGGATTTGCTCAGTACAGTGCTGGACTGTATGCCAGCATCTCCTATCCCATATCAGTTTTAAGCATCAAGAACTGTTGTGGATCTGTAGCTTATGATTAATGTATATTTTATCTGTAGCTTGTGCAAAGTGTCACTTTATGGAGATCATGAACGTTCCTGCAAGAGTCAGAAACTTAGGGAAAAAGGACAAATGTGTGATTACTGTTACTACAAGGGTAGCTATCCTTAACGCTAGGTTGAGGATAACCTCTGTTCATTTCTGAGTAGTGCTGAAACTGAGCTTTCAGTGATCCTTACCTTACCTGATGGCCAGGGTGGCCTTGATGAGTTTGGGAGAAGTCATGCTGGTTTTGGAGCGGTTTAGTGTGACTCAGGGCCTTTGAAAGGAGTTGCAGAAGTCAAAATACAGATCTAAGGGCTTTCAAGAAGAAAAGTGCATACTTTTAAAAATAAAATAGATGATGTAAGAAGGTGACTAGCCCCCTTGTGTCCACATAAGGAGTTTGTTTTATAGAGGGAAAAGTTAGTAAATCCTGATTCAGCAAATGACTTAACTTTGCAAATGAGTTGCTATTTTCCAAATGTATTTTCTCATACCTATCTGAATTATAAGAGTGAAAATAGCACAAGGAGTAATTTGTTATTGTATTAATGTGAGTTTGCTTTCAAATTATCAGTATGTACAAGATAAGTACAAGTGATACCAGTGTGGACTTGTGAACTACTGAACTTATGTGGGTTAATATGTTCAAAAGTATTTTATTTGTAGAGCTATGGCTACCGCTGCACCTGTAGGTAGGGACTTCTGTTTTTCCTGAAATATGCTCAGCATTATTGTCTTGAAACTCTTCTCATGCTCCTTAATGTGGTCCAGCAGTCTTGCTGAGGTCCACCAGGGGGTGGCTCTGCTGATCGGGGTGGCACTACCCAGGGCTTTTAATCTGATCCAGACAGGTTTTCAGAATGGACTAGGTGTATTTAAACCAAATTTATTTGGTTTCTTCTTGCTGTAGAAAAAGGAATCTAATCTTTGGTGGCATTCATAAACTCCTGGGGTCCTAAAACACTGTTTTAAGGTGAAAGTTAGGCTTGGGTAGAAGAGGATGTAATTCTGTGTTTGCTACTTACATTTTATTCTTTTGGTTGAGAATGATTTGTGCTTTGCTCTATGATTACTCAAAGAACCTTTTTAACTTAAAGGTTTCAAGTCAGAAATATTGTGCAGCTGTCTCATTAGGTAGATTTTCTTCCTGATTGATGCAAATGGAAGATGTTTCTACTTGGACTTCAATGTCTGATTTCATATTCCTGATAGTAGAAAGTAACATTTCACTGCAAGAGACTGGAAACCAAAGTCCAAAGCGGGTTTCATGATGGTGGCATGTGGCAGAATAGATGGGCCCTTTTTTCATAGGCATTTCAAAGTCCTTTGTATGAAGTCAAAGCTTTTCAGCACTTTTGAAAATCATGGCAAACATTTGTGTAGTTACTAGTTAAATGCCATTTTCAGAGGAAAAGTTTCCTCTTAATCTTCTCAAAAGCAGCCTACAAGAGAAGCCCTTCCATAAAGGAGAGCACCCAGTGCTGCAAGGATGTGGGCAGTTTAGTGCTTGTTAATTGTGCATACCTGAAGAGCATTAATAAGCGAACCCAGTTACTTGTCATTGCTGAAGAAGTAGCTTTTCCATGAGGAGGACCCTTGGACATGATTTAATAATGCAGAACCACAGCTGCAGCTCTGGCTGGTTGGGTGGTGGTTTGTTAGTTCTGAAACACAGACCCTGTTTGCTGTGTCGCCATAGCCACCGTAACATAATAGGACTCCAGCGTTGGTGTGTAACTTGAAGCTAAGTTGTGCCGTAGGAACATGTGTGCATGAAGAGGAGAGTAATGATGAGAAAACCTGGAGAACTGGAAACAATTACAGGTCAAACTCTGTCTTCTGTCATGGAGACTCCATGAAGCTTCTGGATACATTGCATTTAATTTAAAAAAAGGAAATGGCTAAGTGATTTCCTGTACATGTTAGGTGACCACATCGTGTAGGTCCAAGATATGGAAAATGTGGTCCAGTTGTCCCGTTTTTGGACTAGAGCACAAAGGAAAGAGCAGCTGTAAACTCAAAGGTGGTTCTTCAAGTGTGCAGTTTTAAAAGAAAAAAAAAAAAAGGCATCTGCCACATGAAATTTTGAAGTAATCCAAATAATGCCAAGGGAGATTAAATAAGGAAAGGGAAGGAGAGTCTACAAGATGCACAAGAGAAGATGGTCTACAACAGTTAGCATGCTTGCAGTCTATAATATTCACTTAGGTCAGTGTTTGTGGTAACTTTGCAACTTTTTATAATTCATGCAAATATTTGAAACTTACTTTCTTCTACTAAACTTAATATTTTCTTAGAGATAAAATACAAGGGCATGATGTTTAGTCAGTGTGATAATAACACAATTTATGAATGGACTATTTTTATTTTCTTAAGGGAGCTTCTTGTCTTCTTTTCTCTGTAAAAGTTTGTGTAGTATTTGGAAACCTGTAATGTTGTCGTATATACAGCAGTAATGAAATACTGGAATGTGGTTTAAAACCAGGCAGGTGATGGTCTACTAGTATTTGAAGGATGACCTTATTTTGAATGACAGAAAAATAACAGCAGATTGTTTATAGTAAATCTGACAGCAGATTTGGATTCTTGACTTCACACCATTTCCATTATTAAGCGAGACATATGTAAGTAGCATTTGCTTCCAGACACATGCACATATTCTGTCAAGGGCTTTAAGACATCCTGTCTATTATTTAAATTTTAGACGTCTGAAGATTTTTTTTCTCCCCTAAGGCTTTTTAAAAAAGTTGGACTGCTGGGTTTGTTAATTTTCTTAAACCTGAAGGAGCCTCACAAAACATATTTGAATCTCTATATACTTTTTTTCTTTTATAGATTAACATAGAATCATAGGATGTCTTGAGTTGGAAGGGACTCAATGTTCATCTAGTTCCAACCTCCCTGCCGTGGGCAGGGATGCCACCCCTTAGGTCAGGTTGCTCAAAACCCCATCCAACCTGACCTTGAACACTTTTAGGGATGGAGCATCCACACCTTCTCTGGGCAACCTCTGCCAATGCCTCGCCATCCTCACAGTAAAGAATTTATTTCTAACATCTAATCTACATCTCTCCTCATTTCCTTTGAAACATTGTCTTATGCTATGTGCCCATGTAAAAAGTCCTTCTCCAGCTCTCTTGTAGTCCCTTTAGGTACTGGAAGGTGTTGTAAGGTCTCTCCAGAGCCTTCTCTTCTCCAGGCTGAGCAACCCCAACTCTTTCAGCTCCTCTTCACAGGAGGGATGCTGCAGCCCTCTGTTCTTTGTGGCCCTCATAACTAAACTGATCGTGTATCTATGGGAAACCCTGAAAGAAATACATATTCAGATTTTGTGGTGGTCTTGGACAGTTTTTTAATGTGTTGCTGTTGGGACCGTGCATAGTATTTCTGGGCAGTACAGTTTGAAATATTGGTAAAGAACGCTCATCCTCTGTAGCTGCTGGAAAGTTTACCTGTACAAATGCAGGGTACTGGTACATAGTGGTACACAGAAGACTTAGTAAAGCAGTTGGGGTTTGGTGAGCTGAAATAGCAGCTCAGAAGATAAAAACACAGACCTTTGACTAAAATCATTAGTTAACAGGAAACATAAGGCTTTCTCCAATATACTTTTTTTGTTGTATTTATCCATTTTTGTTTTAAGTGCTTATAAAATTACTGTTCTGAGCTGTGTTTTACTATGGAACAGATGTCTGTGGTTAGATTTTTTTGTATTTACATACACAGTATACTTGAGAAATTACTGAACTTCTCAGAAAATACATGGATTACATGATTTAATATTTTCTTTTTCAGGATTGAAGTGGATCTAGGGACAAATGGATGACTGAATATTCATATGAAGAGGAAAGCCATAAAAGTTAGTTGACATTTTAATAGCCATATGCATTATATGTATGAATGCCAGTATCAAAAATTTACGCTGTGTTATAAAACAGAATAGCTTAAATAACTGGCCTTTACAATACAGCAGCTTTGCATGCTGTATTGTTTTTGAGGCAGGGGAATACTGTAGATAAACAGCCGTGGCTTAATGCAGTATTTGCTGACAATACCTGAATGTACAGCAGAAAATTCAGTAGTATGTTAAGGAAATAGGCAATTCCTTTGAAGCCAGGTGTTTGAGTGGGCTCACACATAGTGGTGTTCATCGTTCTGCTGTGCACAGATGAAGGGAGAATTAGAAGGATGTTGTCTTCCATTATAGCTACTGACTGTGATGCTTAATATTGTGGAGTGGCACTCAGATGCCTCATTGACAGGTGCTGTTTAAGAAGTCAGACAGGACATGATCCTTTTGAAAGTTATCTCAGTGCATTGTTTTCTTGTGATACAGAGAAGGTTGTTTTGCACTGTGAGTTTTCTGTGATGATTAAAAAGGAAGAAGCTGTTGGTGGACCTCCATGACTGGCTACTGTTTTAATACACCAAGCCTTGATCTCTGCCAATCTGAGTTATTGGTGACTATGAGGGATAATCTTTTTCTGGGATGCTATGATAACCGATTCCTACCGAGGCTGTTTAAACACAGATGATGCTGCCTGTGGATTTACACCAGAGCAAATTAATTGTATTGACAACTGCAAGATGTGGTACAGTTGGGATGCAGGGCACAGTCCAGGGAGATGCTGTGCAGCAGCTTGGCTAAATAAAGCATTCTGAAAACTCCAGTAGTCAAGGAGGGGTGTTATTGTAGGAAGCCTGTTTCCTTGAGAGCTTTTGTCAACCCCTGAGTCCCAGTCAGGGGTGGAAACTATCAAAAAACCAGCAAAAAACCCAGGTTTTGTTTTTCAAAAGCACAGTGTTAGTTCAGTACAAGAAATGTAAGTCTACAGTACTATTAACTTAGCAAAGTAGTTCAAGAAGACAGAGTCTTATTTTTCTCAGTGATAATTTGGTTTTATCAAGCTTTTAGTGGTTCAGAAGTGTTACAGTTTATGAACTACTGACCTGGATACAGAAGAGTGTAATTCCTTCTTGTGTAAACTTCTTGAGTGTTTGCAACAGAGAGTGGGTGTGCTGATTCCAGCTACCTCCAAATGCACAAGCAGCATGAGATTTGAGGGAATCATCTGTGTCTTTGAATTTTGTTTCCTGAAATAACGGCTGGCAAAGCAATCTTCAGAAGCATCCATAGAACATCTGCTTTGTATGCTGCAGGTCCGAGAAAACACCTCCAGCCTCCCAGAGCCACATTTAAACCCTGATAGAGACAAAGTGGTAGTAGTAGCTGTGCAGAAATGTACACAATTTTTTCCATGGGGTCAGGGGCCCATATGCCCACATGAGACAACAGTTGTTGCCTGCTAAAAGCAGAGCACAGAATGTTGAGGAATTTCCCTTTGGTTTGATTGTTGACGGGACAGCGGCTGCTGCCCATACCGATGTCTGATAGCTTGGGATGGGCCAGTGTTGTGGCAGAGCAAGCGCTTCCCCACTCAGATCTCTTGGCTATGAATAGCAGAGTGAAAAACTGATACTTTCCAAACCTTACTTGCATCGTTCCAAAGTGCAGTGATAAAATCCTGTATTTACAAGCTTGGGGAGGCACTTCACTGACAGAAAGTGAGAGGGTAAAAAACCAAACTAATTATCTGTAAGCCATCTTTGGATATAATTTTTTTACAGTGGACTACTCTTGCTGTCCAGGAGCCAGCACAGAGCAGTACTACTGTAGTATGGTAATGTTCTGTGTTGGATTGAAAAGTAACTAGGACAGGCTATGTCTTAGCTATTTGGTTTGGGAAATGACACCAGGACAGAAAAAGTTACGGATTTATTTCTTGAGAGGGGCTGTCATGCCCAGAGTCTGTGCAGAGGAGGGATGACTTCCAGATCAAGCAAAAGCAAAAGACTCTTGGAAGAATTTGGACTTTTTGCAGGTTTCTGTAATTGCATGAGAGCTGTATCTCTGTTATCTCTGTATTGCTGTTCCTCTCTCTGCTTTTGCTTTTCTGGTTTAACACAGTGGTGGAATGAGGAAGGAAGAACTGGAGAACAGGGTTACCTCTTTCTTGTCAAGCCACAGTTCCACTCTCTCATGCCCTTCTGATAACATCCCACAGTAATTGTGGGGAAGCTGTTCTAAATATGTGCAGATAAGGAAGGGGGTTCTGAGTTATTTCTTTACATGTATTCTGTTTGGCAGCCTTTGCTAATGTAGGGCTCTGAATCCTACTGACAGTCTTTTATATAAGGAAAGTACCGTGATTAATTCATGTCACTGAATAAGAAAAAAAATGTGGTTACATGGAGGAATTCAAAGTTCGAGGCTAAAAATTCCTTTTCTGGGAAGAAATGATTCCAGAAAGCTTAAGCAATAGAGGTGGAGAAGGCTTCTCTGTGGTCACTGTTAAGATCAGTTGATAAAGTTCTGGCTCCAATAGGGAAGAGATTGGATTTCAGCCAGCACCTTGCCTTAGCTTTTTGTTTTATTGCTCCTCTACTAATCTAGTTTTGAAAGATTTTCACTGCTGACATGAAAATGTTGGTGTATTGTTGGGAGTGAAAACAGCCTGTATTGCATTGACTGTATGTTATATTGGGATACTTAAGGTCTTCTTTGGTCTGCCTCAAAATATATGTAAATGTGGTGTTGTATAAATAAGTGATATCTAAGCATATATGCAACTGATGAAGGAAAAGTGAGCATAATTCTTTCTGTCTCATAAAATGAGGTTAGATGAATATCTAGCAGAAAAAAGAAATATGCAAAAGTAAACCTGACAGCAAATGTGTATATTGAATGCATGCAGCTTATGATACTTCTGCATTTTCCATAATACTGACAGCTGCATCCAGAGGTTAATTTGTCTGTTGAATCAGATATTTAAAGTTTGTTTTTCAGTGTACAGTGGCTGAATGGGGGCGTAGGGGAGTGAGACTTGGGTAGGAGCTGGCAAGGAAATGTGTAACTGACGAAAACTGTAGCTCAAAAGTTCTGGGCAAAATAAAGGTCCAGACTTCAGGTAAAAAGGACTGAAAGAAGTTCAGAGAGCAAAACTAAAGGGGAAAAAGAGATTGTTCAGATTGGAAAAGCACAGATCTGGGTTGTACTTAATGAGTAGCCATGGGTGCAATCACCACTCACACTGTGGTTTCATGAACAGCTTCTAGAAATAACACTGGGCAGTTCAGTTGATCAAGTTTAATGATGTTCTGAGTTATTCAATGCTGGAAAAGTGATGAACAACACTGAGTTTAATGGCATAAGGATGACTCCTAATTTTCTGTCACATCTTCAAAAAGCTGAAACCAAACCAACCAAGAGCAAACTTTAGCTCAGCTGTTTAGAGGAAGGGACTCAAGAAGGTGTTTCTTGAACTGTTGAAAGCCCACCCCATTTCATCAACCTCCCAACCTCTTATGTGCCCTTGCCTCTCCTCCTCTGGCTTCTGCATTGTAGCAGGGCATGGGAGGGTGCAGAACCTACTGGTTGTAGGCCTTGGGCTTCACCCCATGCTCCACTGACAGCTGGGCAAGCCCCTGGGTCATCTCATCTCACTCAGGATCTGCCCTGGTTTTGTGTGTGGAGTTTGGGTTCATTGGACTTCATCTTTTTGCTTTTTTATGCTTTTTAAAGTCTGGTCATGATAAAAAATGACTTTTTAAAATGTATTTGAGAAGGTTTCAAGCAAGTTTTATGGTTTATTTGCATAGCCAATATAGTGGTAACAGTGTGATGATATGTTTGGTTTTTCTTGACAGCTGTCCCCTCTGTATTGCAAACAAATGCAGTTTTTCTAGAAAGAAAGTGGCTGCTCTTAAAGAGCCTTTGTCATCTAGCATCATTCAGTGGATTCTTGGAATATAATTATGACTAAAAACATCAACTTGGTGAAATAGATTGATGGTCAGTGCAAAGTAATTCCCTCTAGATTAATATATCTTTTTGTCATGTGCTTTTCAGTTTAGATTACTCTCAGGCAAAGAGGCTGTAGTTTGATGTTTTGTCTTAATTCATTGTGATTATAAATTAGTTGGATAAAACAGTGTAACAAATGACTACTTAAAAATGACTGATGGCCCCATTCAGCAAGGCATGGGGATGTGAAGTTCTGTTGGTTTCATCTGTTGTCTAGCATTTATCAAGATGGGTCCCTTAACAGTTGATTTTTAATGAATATTTCACAATGTAAATAGATAGCAGGCACTTGTCTGGAGCTCAGTCATATTCATAGGACAGATCTGCTTTTACTTGTTGTCACTGAAAAATGTAAAAGCTAATGCTTAAACTGTAGAGTGGGAGGAAAGCCTTTCCCCAAATCTAATGTTGCGGAACGGGAGGAGCAGCAGTGATTTTCTTTCTTTTCCTGTTCCTTACATCAGTAACCACATACTGGGCTGTCTCTTGCTCCGTCCTTTCCCACTGAGTGCTGGAGGGCTGTGCACGGTGCACACTGTAGCTCCAGGTTTGCTCACTCTAGGCTCAGCCCTACTGCCGGTGCGGTGAGGTAAATTTGGAGCTGATGCCCACAACTGAAAAATTGCTGGGGTCATTTCCAACACTGAAATTTTCCAAGGAAAAAAAGGCATTTAAGATGGCTTGCAACAAACCACTTCAGCTTTGTGAGTTTGCTTATGAACTCTTTCCTGTTTCCCTTGCATTTACAACATTATGGATTGATTTCTGGAAAGACCCTGGTGTTCTTATTAGGCTTTCCTTATGAACAGCAGTGCAAAATTTTTTCTATACAGCTCACTTTCTTCATTTCTGCCAGACAAATGCTTTCATAATCTCAGTTTCTTGGTTTCTTGTTTATGGATCCTGGGTCTTGGCTACATTCCTTTCATTTCCTAACTCTTTTGGTGACACACATACATGTAGATTATGGACAAATCATATTTTCAGTTGGCTTG